TTGCAGACAGTCAAGCAGCAATAAGAAGTGAAGTGGGGTTAAGCTAATTGTGAATAATGGCTGTAATCAAATTCAGCCCTGGAGCTAAACTGAGTGTTTATCACTGCTGTTTATGTAGCCAAGACATGACAACACTTGTAAACAATATACCACGTGCGGGGGTTCTCTTTGAGAATCTTTCTGTTGGAATTGATTGCAGGTAAAGGCAAGAAGACAACAGAGGAGAGTAAAGGTACTTTTCAGTCATGGCCAATCTGCTTTTATTTTTCATTTTTGTTACCATTATTTGTGTAAAAAAAGGTTGCAGCAGGTAGAGACCCAGTGAAAGGATGATTATCACCTACGCTAGGTGAGTGCCCCAAAATGAGCTCATGCTCCTTGGCGTGGTACAGTATGTTGACCAGTGCTTCCATTACACTGCTGCTGTCCAGTCAGATACTTCACTGCAACTCAGAGGAACCGTTGTGATAAGACCTAGCTTGAGGGCTGTACATGACCAGGGAGTAGGCCAGCATCGTTCGTTCTCTGTGCAGTGCCTGCAGTCCCAAGGTCTGATTGCCAATAATGTTCTGTTTGCCCTCTTCCATCAATACTGTTCCACATGACAATGCATAAACTCGGTGCTAGTTGCTGTTACCAAGAAGACGGGAGAGAGAGGAGGATTGGAAATCCATTTTTTTTTTCTGTCCAAACTTTGAAGATGAAGCAAGAAGACAGAGGTGAATGATGCATTGTTGAAGAGAGGTTTCTGCTTCTCTCTGGTTCTGTGGCTGTGTGTTTTTTTGTGTGTCGGTGAAATATCTTAAAGATCTGTCCTGTGCTGTGCTGTGTTTTGCTGTAAATAACTTCATCAAAGGGAGGCACCCAATTCTTCTGGATCTCCTCTGTCTATGATCCATGCTGGGACTTGTGGATTGTTGGAGTCACTGGTTGCTGGCAGTCGTCTTGTTTTGAGCCGCTGCTCTCAGTGAAACCTGTTATTAACATTGATCATGTTAGCCATGCAGGTGGCAATCTGGTTTCATTGATACAGCCAACAGTAGGTGCAAAGTTGGGTTTGGTGTCTCTTGCTTCCAAAAAGAGGACTGACAATAAAGGTGAAATGGACTTGTAGAATCATTGACATAAATAACTGTGGCATAGCATTCATGTCTCTCGGGGGGGGTGCTATCAGCGTGCAGGCTGCAGAGATTCACATAGAGGGTAATAACCAGGTGCAGTGGTGGGGGAAAAATGTGAAAAAAAACACATACTGTACACACCTCTTTTTATTTATTGAGGTGTCTTTAAAGTGAGCAGTTCCTAAAATTGCAGTTCCTTCTGCAAGAATTGGGGTGTCGTGATCATTTTAGAGTGAAATAAATAAATGCTGTTTTCATGTCAAACTGTAGTGATTCCTTTTGTATTTAAATAGGTGACATTCCAGTTCAAAACCAGATTTCATTCTTTTTTTGTCGAGGAGTGTAACCTGAGTGTCTCTGTAAAATAAAACGGATCGTGTTACTCTTTATCACAAAGACATAACAGGGACATTTTAAATTTAATTAATTACATAACTTTACCCTTTTGGAATCTTTTGCATTTTATTTTGGAAGGTTTCATCTTTGCCAAAGCAGTGCAATAACAACATTTCCTAACCTTTTGTGCTGTATGCCTATACACTGCTCTGATTTGTCTGTTTTGTGCTAGGGCAATCACTGTGGCATCATTTACAAATCTAAGCCGATTTGTATAGAATTCAGGACCTGGCTCAAAGGGCTTGTCCGCAAGGTCGTGCGACGTTGAGCTGAGTGTGATATTGGCAGGGGAAGAGCTTTGTACAACCGATTAAAAAAAAAAAAAAATTGATAATAGCAATAATGAAAAGTGGACAGATGTCATGGACATAATAATGGGAATGCAAAACCAGCCTGTTTCTGTGAGATGAGCAAAGTAACAGACAGGCCTTTAATATAAAAATAATATTACTGATTTCACTAAGAGCTGCTTCATCTGCAGACGTGGGGGTAACAGGGAACAGCTTCATGCTCAAAGTTTGCACATTATTTTTATTATTGACTTACCATAATGAAGAACGGAATAATTGCTGCTTTCATGCCTTCCAGAGTACACTGCTAATCTTATTATATACTGTAGATGATGTGTTGAGTCTTCTGCTGTGTGATAATGATTTTTTACTTCATGAAGATAACCTGGTTGTAAAACTTCAGTGTCTATTGTGAGGATAGTTTTCAAAGCCAGCTATGTACCATCTGAGCCCAGGAGGAGTTTGGCAGGTGAAGAAAGAGGAGCAGTGAAAGCTATGTCTAAGAGATGCTAGAAGGAGATTAAGCACAGTGCTGCCTGTGCTCATTAACAAGTAGAAGACTTATTAAAGAGACACTCGTTTAAAATTAATTATGATCGGAGATGCCTATCACAATTTCTTCTTGTGGCCAATTAAAACAATTTTCACCTAGTGCGTTATCAAGAAGTTGCTCAGCGTTTTCAAATCTTTCCTGTGTGCAGTGTGTGCGCGCCCTGTTTCAGGAATCAAATCCCAACCTTTTCTTTTTCATGGTGTGTTTCATGTCTGTGTCATCAGCTCTTTGACATGTAACATGTACAGTAAAAGACATTTTTTGAATAATAAGTATAAAATTAAGTATAAATTATTCGGAAGCATGCAGGGATCACTTAATTAATGTTTAGGGTATTTCAATGAAATTACAATAGATAACAAGAACATTTGTAAGTGATAGTTACAGTTATAACAGTTATGTCTGTTAATTGTTTTTATTGTTACAGAGTTATAACTGTGAAAAGGAGGTGAAAAGTATCAGACAATGCCATGTAACAACATCCATCTGCTTTGCTAATTTCACCATTTGTTTTAACTTGGGAACGATCTTCTGAATTTTGCTTAGTGTAGGTATACAGTTTGTGCATTATGGTTTTTTTCTCTGATCATTTGATTTCAAATCTGCGGACAAGCAGCACACTGCTGGGATTTCAGTGGAAAAGCACATAAACTGACCCACTTTGGTATATCGAGAGCCACAGTGGCCTCCAGTTGTACCTTGTTTGAAGGTGCTGCTGCCTTTTTCTTTGTCTTTGGAGCAGCTCTCTGCCATTGCAGCTCTCTTTCTGTACTGTGCAATACACAGACTTGTGCATTTCAAAGATGAGAACAGGTGCAGTTTCTTTAGGGTTGTGGGAGCGTGGAACAAGCTACCCAACTGTGTTGTGTGCTGTAAAACCCCGGTCATGTGGCTGAAGCAGCAATGACATAATCCAGTCTGGCCTCTGTGGAATTATTTGGAGTGCTGTATTGTTAAAATCCTTATCATGCACAACCTCTTGTTTTGATCCGTGGCGTAAAATGTTAAACGATAAAAATGATAACCAGGAGATCATCTTCCTTTGCCAGACCTTTTAGTGTCTTGAGGCAAGTGAGACAGTTTATGTCAGGGCTGCGTTGTGGGGAAACATTGACACCTTTTCTTGTGTCAAATCGCTTCCTGTGTTGATTGAATCTCGAAGGGGAGCATAGTTTGTTCGTGCTGCGCTGTTCCTGCAGTGTCACTCCATTTAGCAGAATTCTGGCTACGTTAATCTTCCCTTAGCAGGCTTTGCTGAAGAATCCTGGAGATTGCTAAGTGCTCAAGGCAGAGCTTTTTCCAGAACTCTTCAGCTGAAGGCTCTTTTGTACAGTCCGCCCACGCTGATTGGAAATAGCGTCACATCTACCTGAAAAGACGTTAGCAGCCGGGGGGCAGGCATACCCAGCCATGCAGTTCAGAGCTCTCTCGTAGTTATCCTTGTGGAAACACTGATGTGAGCATTAAGAGTCTGGATGAAATGGTCCCCTTTTCTCCCCCTTTTCATATTTTCTCTTCTGTTGCCTTTCTGTCCCAAGGGAGCAGGGGGCGCGTCTGAGCTCTGGTGTTAGCAGTCCTGATAAAATGAGAAGAGGGATCAGTCTGAGCAGTCAGACACCTGTCCCCCTACAGTACCTGCTTTTCGTCTTCTCCGCCTGCACACCTGTTGAGCCTTTTTTGGGCACTCTCTAACCTTTTCTCCTAACTATGTTGGTACTCTGAGAGGGAGTCAGTCAAATTATTATGTTTTGTTTTACTACTGCAAAATGTTAGGCTGTGGTGACTCCGTCTCAAGTGCCCATTTCGCTCTTGATAATCTCTCTTCCACATCATGGGAAGAGACCCAGCCTCTGCAGTGATTCTGACAGGCTGGGGGTAGCTAAGAGAATAACAGCACTGTTATACCCCAGAAATATCACAGGACTGTTCTGTTTTGTCACTGACTTTTGTCGTCTTCTCTCTAATTGATCACTGTAACGCCCTACTTGCTGGGGTATCTAAATCCACATTGAACAAGCTGCAATATGTCCAGAATTGGGCAGCCAGAATCTGACCAGGTCTAGTGCAAGTGATCACATTACTCCTATCCTGGAGTCCTTGCACCAGCTTCCAGTCAGGTTTCATATTGACTTCAATATTCTCATGCTCACCTACTGTACAAGTCTCTGCAGGGCTTGGTGTCTCAGTACCTGTCTGAGTTATTATCATCCTGCTCCCCACCTCACAACCTTCATTCTTCCATCTCTGGTCTCCTGCACCCCAGAGCTCTGGAATTCGATCCCAAAGAATATCGGAGAGTCACCTACCTTTAAACTCCTTCAAATCTGGACTCAAAACCTTCTTCTTCAGGAGGGCTTTTATTTAAGTGGTTCTGTGTCTGCCCCTTTGCTGTCCTGCTGTATTCCAAACTCTCATTGTAACTGTGTGATTTCTGTTGTCTCCTCTCCCTGTGCATTTTATTTCTGTTTCAGAAGCCACTTTCAAAGGTGCTCCATAAAATGAAGTTTTATTATTGTTATTATTATTATTATTATTATTATTCAGAGAGGCGGATAGTGGAGCAGGGGCCCCTGGGGGGTTGTGGTTGCTGTCGGGTCACGGTGCTGTCTCGTTAGGCTGACTCCCAGTTCTGTCACGCAGGGCGACGGGAGGAGGGCCATGATCATCACCGGACCCAACATGGGCGGGAAGAGCTCCTACATCCGCCAGGTGGGCCTCATCACCATCATGGCCCAGGTGGGCTCCTTCGTCCCTGCCGAGGAAGCTGTCATCGGGGTGGTCGATGGCATTTTCACCAGGTACACAGCTCTCTCCCCCTTCCCCGCCTGCTGCTGCCAAGACAGGGGGTTATCTTTCCTCTTTACTGCACGGCCTTCTGGGTCGCCACTGTCCAGCGGGGCCTGACTTTACCCAGGACCAGGTAAAGGTTTATTCATCCGGTCTCTTGGCTTTTCCCTTCAGCAGGGAATAAACCTTTACCTGTTCCTTCGCGTGCTGAGGCAGCTCCCTTTTCGGATTTCCTTCACGAAGCGGGGCGTGGCCCTGCACACCCCCCTGCCCATCTAAAGCTCGTTCCTCCCCAGGTGTCGCGTTGCACGCAAACCCTTCTTACTGCAAAAAAGAACAAGTTTGGAAGTTGCCCTTCTAAGAAGCGTGTTCGAAGCTTCGGCAAAGGCACACTTGAGCGTGTTCAGAAGTGTGGCTGGTCATCATTTTCGGGGATTGTGAAACCATTCCCCAGATTACACGGTAATAAATAATG